ACAAAATATCCCATGCGACAAAATATCCCGCGACAAAATATCCCATGGCAAAATATCCCGCGACAAAATATCCCCTGGCAAAATATCTCACGACAAAATATCCCTAAGATGCAGAAAGGTGAACATATGCACAGCAACTTATAGTTTAACTTTTAATTAAATACATAAACATTAATATTTCGGGACTACCGCACCTCCTCCGAAAGCACGGATGGGGGGGTGTGCGTGAACCTCGGTTCGCGTGGAAAGTGTATGCGTGAACTATTTCGGGACTACCGCACCTCCCCCGAAAGCACGGGGGGGTGTGCGTGAACCTCGGTTCGCGTGGAAAGTGTATGCGTGAACTATTTAAAATTAATTCGGCGCCACGATACTTATCGCTTAAAGATTAAATTAGATCTAACTCCCTAGGGGCCTGCAGGCAGAACAACCAATCAGCGCCGCGGAACGCGGCGCTTAAAGTTTAAATTTGATCTAATTCCCTAGGGGCTTGAAGAACAACCAATCGGCGCCGCGATATACGCGGCGCTAAAAAATTTAAATTAAATATAACTCGCAAGCCTGCAGAAGAACAAATCGGCGCCACGATACGTGGCGCTTAAAATTTAAATTAAATATAACTCTCGCGAGCCTGCAGAATAACAACTTAATATTTAGGGTTGGTTTATAATAGCCGTAACCGTTGATTTAAGCCGTAATCTTTAAGAAATTGACCAATCACAGTCGATTATTCTTCTCACATTCGACTGTGATTGGTCAATTTCTTAAAGATTACGGCTTAAATCAACGGTTATGGCTATTATAAATCAACCCTTACTTTTTCTTTTGCTCACTTTATCAGTTATAACACACAGTATGTATAGTTATACTGTGGTCATATGTCATAAATTGACATATAGGCTGCGTTCCTTTTGGGCGCTCACGCGCTGTAAGCATTGCTCTATCTTCGTTTGATATTCGATGTGCAACGAAGATAGAATGATGCTTACAGCGCGTGTGAGCGCGTGAGCGCCCAAAAGGAACGCACCCATAGTCTGAATTCGGGAAGCGCGCTATTAGCGCTATTTGCTTATTCTATCCTTGTTTTACACCGGATGAGCGATAAAGATAGAATAATGCACGAGCGCTAATGGCCTAGTTTACACCGATCTCTTGATACGCGTATCAAATAGTATATTTGAACTGATCAGCCAATAATCAGACTTATTTACTAGTTATTTACTATTTAATACGCGTATCAAGTGATCGATGTAAACTAGGTCAATAGCGCGCTCCCCGAACGCAGCTTAATGCCCGTATCACATTAGCGCGTGGCACGTGTGTCTACGTTTGCGTTTACGTCTCTTGACCACGCAGAAAGTAGCTGCTGGCTATTGCGATTCGCGCGTTCCGTTCTGGCGTGGTCAAAGTCAAAAGACGTAGACGCAAAACGTAAACGCACGCGCCACGCGCTAGTGTGATACGGGCATAAGTATGCATATGTTTCGAATTTACGCACGGAACATGCGCATGTGGCCACAGAGCTGTGACAGAGCATGCGCATGTGGCCGCGGGGCATGTTTGTGGTCGCTACGTCACGTGTCGGTATGACAGGATTCCTAACCTGAGAGCAACGTCAAAACGCTAAACATCTCGCTTCGCAGGGCAGACCGCCGCATTTTTCTGCCAGATTCTTTCGTTTCGTCGTCAAAACTCGTCGTCGGAGCATACGTTTATTGATATTATAGATGCAGCGCGTATTCCAAGTACGTACCGAAAATAATTTATCGTACAAAATTCATTTTGCAAGTATTAAGCATAAGCAAAATACACGTCAAAATTTACAAGGAACATGAGTTTTAAGACAACTAAGGAAGTTATAGAAGACGGAGACCGTGTTATCTTATATTTAAGTCCAAGCAACATGCATTCTCTGGAAGTAAAAGCGAAACGTTCTAACAAGAAGGGTGAAATCATAGATAACATGTTCCACACTACGTATGGTGCCGTGAGAGTTGTTTCGCTCATCGGACAAAAGTATGGTTCGAAAGTGGAGTTGTCTCGAGGCTGGGCATATGTGTTGCAGCCAACGCCAGAACTCTGGACGCTGACACTGCCGCATAGAACTCAGATTATCTATAGTCCAGATTCAAGTCTCATTATACATTTAATGGAGCTTCGGCCAGGAAGTATAATCATCGAAACAGGTATGTATCGTATGATTTTATGTTAGAAACTGACACGCGTCGTCTTTTCATACGTTATTTTAGGTACTGGCAGTGGTTCTTTATCTCACTCATTAATTCGAGCGATACGTCCGAGTGGTCATTTGTATACCTTTGATTTTCATGGACAACGTGTATCTATCGCTGAAACAGAATTTAAGAAGCATGGTTTGAATACGTTTGTAACTTTGAAGGAAAGAGATGTTTGCTTAGAAGGATTTGGAGAAGAGTTAAAACACAAAATTGATGCAGTGTTCCTAGATCTTCCACATCCGTGGTTAGCGATAGAACACGCTACTGTTGCTTTAAAACAAACAGGTGATTTTTTTTCCTAATTTTATTTCTTGCGTGTGAAAAATTTTTCATTGGTAGTGTGTGAATATTTTCTCAAGACACGCATCTTGAAATCTGCATAAAGATACATAAATGGACTAGACCGTCCGATTAAAAGATGTGACACGTGTGTATCGCGTAGAGTTGCATTCGTTCGTGTAGTACGCGTCGTGATGTATAACACGTTTTATTCGATAGGTGGAAAACTCTGTTTTTTTTCTCCTTGCATTGAACAAGTTCAACGTACTTGCGCAAAACTGATTTCTAAAGGATTTATAGACGTACACACGTACGAATGTTTGCAAAGAGAAATGAATGTTCAATACAGATCTCTACCGATATTAGATTTGGAATGTTTAAAATACAAGGTATGTTGGTATATTTT